TGGGTTTCAATGGTTTCACATTTCTATCATATAAATATTTGCAGTTTTTTGCTAAAGTTATTTTCTTGTAATTTGCAAACGCAAACGCCAAATGCAGAAGGAAAGTTGTTTTTATATGTGTTGGTGTTAATTAACATGTATAACAATAAAATTTTGATTAAGATTTTCAAGGTTACATGTTTATTTAAAAGAAATATAACTAAATTAACGCAAATAAACCATCATATCGAGGCCAAAAAAAAGTGTCAGAAAGTGTTAACAATTCTCGAAGACAAGTTTTCTGGTTTTTTCTTTGCTCATACACCCTAATTTTTCAGAGACACACTCAAGCTGAAGATAACCCCCATTTTGATGTGACCAAAATTATTTGAGAATCTGAAAAAAAATACTCTCATATTTCTAAGAGACGCAGATTATAGAACAATAAACATGAAATTTTAAGGTTTTTACAAAGGGATGATTCATTATATTTTACAAAATATCAAATAATGAAAAAACATTATATGATTGATATAGTCACACATATGCACATGATTTGTGATGCAGTAAATCGTCTCATTTTTGACCAAAAAAAAAAAAAAATCGTCTCATTGGGCATATCAATATTTTCGAATTTTCTGTTTTTCCTAATGAGCGAACATTTCATACAAACATTTCTCTAGCTACCTTGCATATCATAGTCTTCCCGAAAAATCGAGGAAACTTGGGAAACAAGGAACCAGACCATAAAGAGGTTGAGGAGAAGATGATGAGTGTGGGAATGAAAGACTGGTAAACGGCGGTAACGGCCAATTTGACGGGGGAATTAATGGTGGCAACACCATTTGATTCGCCGGATTTAGACCGTGAGCCATAGCCATCGCCGTCAACAGGTGATGGTTATACATTCCAAAGTTTAATGTCGCCGGAGGAATATAAGGATTCGTTCCCATCGCTGACATCACCTGCAATTACACCATTATCTTTAATTACAACTTCGTTTCTGAATATATATATAGGACTCGTATTCATACATCTTCTAATATTCAAATGTATAAAAGGTCTAGACACCCTAGCTATTGGAACATAAAATACATTATCAAACGTATACCAAACACCAAAAATCGTTCGTGTAGAATGTTTAAAACGTCTAATCATCTAATCGACCACCTAAAAAATATAATCGACTGTCTATTAAAGTAATCAACTGCCTACTACAACTCAAGTTTTTTCAAGTGATTAAACACCATATAGAATTTTTTGAATCGAAAACAAATTTAAATCTCATAAGTTCAAATAGCAATAACAACTAATTAACATCAACCGAATAGATTGGCAAGAAAACTCGAATTTAAGTAAACCCCAAAATCTCATCAAGCCTCAAGACACCCGATTTTCCCCGAACGACAAATAAATATATACATCATCTCATATAAATCATACATAGATATGTTGAATAAAGTTAAAATATAGACCTGGAGTTGAAGTTGAAGATTTTTCATATACTCAATTGCCTTATCGAGAACCGAAACCTTGTCCGTCTGAAAGTGAAAATCAAATAAAAAAATTATACACCGGTTATTATATAAACGTAAGGCAAGATTCCTTGAAATATGAAATTATATAGAACACATGCACATATATAATACATAGTAACAAGTATATATATTAAAATATACAAACCTTGTGACAATTAGGTACAAGTTGCTGTAGTGTAAGCATCTTGTTACTCATCTCGTCTCTTCTTCTTTTTCGTCTCTTGGAACCTCCTCTTGTCACTGAAGGAACCTCTCTTGTAAACCCCTCTGATTCCTCCTACACAAATTGTTTAGAAAAAACGAAATATTGAGCCAAAATTGAATATATACAATACATAGGTAATAAGGGATATGTGTATAATATAGACTTCTTACATCATCGCTCGAGATCTGGATACGACGCCGTTTTGGTTTGTCATGTTTGTTTCTCAAAAACCAACGATTATCCGAACTGTCTGAATAATCTTCACTGAGATGATAATCACCAGTTTCAGAATGTTCATCAGGAACAACAACCAACAAATCTTTCTCCGATTTTTCTTCTTCTTTGTGAAGCTCTGGAACAATTTGAACATGAATATCTGTGTGACGATCATGATCAAAGTAGTCGTAGTTCCATTTTAAGCCGTTGATTAGACGATCTTCATCAGTTCTTGCTCTTTCTGATACACCCTGATCTTTCACGGGAAGTGATCCGACGTGGTTTCTCCATCCAAGCCCCATGAAATCTTGATTATTCAACCTACAAAAAGTAGGAACTTATTAGGGTTTACAAGATTAGTTACCGATCAAAAAATAAATAAAAGATTACTGGAATAAAAACTCGTAAGACAATAGTATACGTACATCTTAATCAAAGAGATTATTGGAGATGGAAGATTCGATAAAATCCTTTTTCTTCTTCAGGGACTTGAGATTTGTCCGAGATAATGGAATTCCAGTATTCATTCATTTATATTATAAGAACGATCGGAGATGGATGGTATAGTTGTCAGCTAATTTAGTGACCCACTTGTATTATGCCACGTCTCGTACGATGAATGGCTAATTAAAATAATTTTCATTTTTTCTCACGTATACACCGACAACGATATAACACAATCCGACTAGATGATGTCAGAATAACAGAGTGGTAACTGGTAAGGCATAGTTTGGTCCCCCTAAAAAGAAGGTTAAATTAGTTCTTTAATTAAAATTATAAAGCAACCTTTTTTTTTCAACGCTGTTCTAAGACCAATTTTTATTTGTATCAATGTTGATTTTTAATTTGTTTATAGTCAATTTCTTTTTCTTTTCCTTTTTTAAAACTGCAAAATAAGAAAGAAAAAAATAATTGGTTTCTCATAATATTTTCTTTATTATATTATTTTGTGTTAAAATGATATTAAATCTTTTTACATGACCGATTCTGTTTATATTGAAATCGTAGATGCATACATGATCAC